TCATCACTAGATTTTCATCTTTCCAGGTCAAGGAAACATTGAATTTGTTAGGCCGTTCTTTCGAGTTTTCAACCTAACTTTTCTTTCTCTTTTTTTTTTTTCTCTTTTTTTTTAAGAATAATATTTTTTGACAGCATCAGCATTCACTGGGTGATGATAATCAATTCCATCTGAATATCTCAACAAGAGTGCTCCTCTAGAGAAAGCTTCTTTAACAACATAAGCCCTTTCATAATTAGGTGCAAATTTGCCTCTAGGGTCCCTTTCATTTGGCATGATCTTCCTTAAGACGAGATCTCCTTGATGAAATATTCTAGGTTTGACTTTCTTATTGTAAGCTGCTGCCATTCGTTGCTAATAACATTGGCCATGACAAAGAGCTGCTAATATTTTCTCATCAAGCAAATTGAGATACTCTATCCTTTTCTGAATCAAGTCTTCTTCATCAATCCCTGACTTGGATAAAATTCTCATGGAAGGAATTTCTAGCTCAATTGGTAGTATGGCCTCCATTCCATATACCAAAGAATAAGGGGTTGCCCCAGTTGAAGTGCGAACAGAGGTTCTATAAGCATGGAGAGCATATGGCAACATTTCATGCTAGTCTTTGAAAGTAACTATCATTTTAGCTACAATCTTCTTGATATTCTTGTTGGCAGCTTCCATCGCACTAGTCATCTTCGGTTGGCATGGAGAAGAGTTTAAATGCTTGATCTTGAATTGCTTGCATAGCGCAGTCATCATGTCATTGTTCAAATTGCTTGCATTATTAGTAACGATGGCCTCCGGTTACCTATATCTGCAAATGATCTCTCTTTTGATGAAGCGAGTGACCACCTTCTTGGTAACACTAGCATAAGATGTTGCTTCTACCCATTTGGTAAAATAATCAATAGCAACCAAGATAAATTGATGACCATTGGGAGCTTTAGGATTAATTTCCTTAATCACATCGATGCCCCACATGAATAATTGCCAAGGAGCAGACATATTATGTAGTAATGAAGGAAGAGCATTAATATGATTAGCATAAATTTGACATTTGTGACAAGCTCGTGCGTACTTGATGCAGTCATGTTCCATAGTCAACCAATAATACTCGGCTCTAAGGATCTTTCTAGCAATCATTCTTCCATTGGCATGTGTTCCACATATCCCTTCATGGACCTCAATCATGACTTGTTTTGCTTTTGTTTCATCAACACATCTCAACAAGGTCATATCAGTAGAGCGTTTATACAATGTATTTTCGCTCAAAAAGCATGAAACAGCCAATTTTTTGATTGTCTTGTTGTTCACCCTTAGAAGCATAAAGTGGATATTCCCCATTTTGCAAGAACTGTTTAATATCATGAAACCATGGTTTGTCATCAACCTTGATTTCCATGCAATGTGCTAGTTCTTGACTAATTTCAATCATCAGAGGCTTGATTATGTCATCCTTGGAGATTTGGATCATTGAGGCTAAAGTTTCCAAAGCGTCCACAAATTGGTTCTTAGCACAGGGCATGTGGTTTATAGAGATGAATATGAATTTTCTTATGAGAGTTTCAAGGTATCGATGATAAGAAATAAGTTTTGACTCTTTGGTTTGCCAATCATTGTTTGTCTAACAGATGATTAGTGTTGAATCACCATATATCTCCAAATCAAGGACATTCATATCCAAAGCAGCATGCATCCCGACAATACATGCTTCATACTCAGCTATGTTGTTGGTACAAGTAAAATCAAGTTTTATAGTAATAGGAAAATGATCACCCTTTGGGGATACCAATATGGCTCCAAGGCCACAACCAAGCTAGTTAACAACTCCATCAAAGAAGAGCCTCCAATTATCCGACTCAGATTTTGCCTCCACTACCAAAATGTCTTCATCAAGAAAATCCCAATCAATAGGCTCATAATCTTTCGCTGCATGCTCAACTAAATGATCTGCAATGGCTTGCCCTTTGATGGCCTTTTGTGTTGTGTAAACAATGTCAAATTTGGAAAGCAGCATATGCCATCGAGAGATCCTTCCAGAAAGGGTAGGTTTTTCAAAAATGAATTTTATAGGATCCATTTTTGAAAGTAGGTAAGTGGTGTTAGTTAACATATAGTGGCGAAGTTTCTTGGATGTCTAGGTTAGGGAACAACAATTGTTTTCTAAGGGTGAGTATTTACTTTCACAATCATTGAACTTCTTGCTCACATAATAGATGGTTGTTTCTTTCCTACTTGAGTCATCATGTTGGACAAGGATGACTCCCATGGATTCTTCAAGGATAGTGATATATAGGATGAAAGGCTTTTTATTAGTTGGTGGCACAAGGATTGGTGAATTTTTGAGGTATTCTTTGATTTTGTCAAAGGGTTCTTGGCATTGGTCATTCCAGGTATGAGGATTGTCTTTTCTGAGGAGTTTGAAGATAGGCTCACAAATGGTGGTGAGGTTGGCGATGAAATGGGCAATGTAATTAATTTTACCCAAGAAACTTTGGACTTCTTTTTGGGTTTTTGGTGGTGGCATTCCATCAATGACTTTTTTTTTTTGGCTGAATCAATTTTGATTCCTCAGCGGCTCACAATGAAACCAAGTAGCTTTCTTGAATCCACACAAAAGTACATTTGGCAGGATTGAGTCTCATTTTGTGTCTTCTAAGGCGTTCAAACACCTTCTTAAGATTTTCTGTATGTAGCACCTCTTCTTTGGACATAATCACCATGTCATCAACATATAGCTCAACAATGGTATGCAAACAGTCATGTAATAAAGTAATCATAGAGCGTTGGTACGTTGCCCCGGCATTTTGAGTCCAAAAGGCATAACTTTTGTAATATCCCAAATTTTCGGGAATTTTATCATTTAAGTTAAGGACTAAATTGTGGAAAAAGATTGTTTTGGGGCTTAATGGCAAAATGTTCAAAAGTTGAGGGACTTAAAAGAGGAAAATAATTGGATAAGGATCAGCTTCCTTCTTTTTCTTTCTTTTCTTCC